ATTTAGACAAGTATCAATACTCTACTAGAGGTAAAATTTCACATTTTTTTTAAAAAATATAAATAGAAGCATTAAATATAAGAGTTTGTGTTACTTTTATTAACCATGTTCATCTTTTAAAATTGAAATTACGTCAAATATATTAAGATATGTATTTTTGTTAGGGCCATCGTCTTGCACGCATGTTTGGCAAAGTTTTAATCTTATTTTATGTTGACGGAATCATACATATTATCTACACATCTTTTGGGATCCACAACTTATTATTCAATATTAACACATTTCGTAAAACCTACAAATTATAAACATTTATGGAAACAATAAATAAATATATAAGAATTTGAGCTATTACCAAATGAACATTTATCAGCTTCTGATTCACAAAATCGACATAGTTACATTTCATATGATGGATCCAAATATCCAATTATTCTCGTTTTATACTTCAAAAGCAAATAAAATATTTGAAGGCGTAATTATGGACATAAAATAAAAGTTCGGGACATATTCTGTGATAAATCCAGTCAGTTGATAAAGTCAAAGTTTTGTACCTCTTTTGATAATTTATTTAGGAAAACATTTTGTCTTTGCGAATTGTACGGAGAGATGAAAGAATTTGTGCATTGGTATCGGTTAGTATATAGAAACCGAAGAAAAATAATTTATATAGCATTTTTAAAATTATGAAGAATATTATAAAAAACGAAGAAAAATGATTTATATAATTGCTTTAATTTTATTAAGAATTCGATTTAGTTGGTGTGCAATTACAAAACAAATTCATCTCAATTCTTCATGAATATTTTGGAGTCTGTATAAAAATTTAGGCGTTCTCAACAGATTTAATAAATTTCATTAAAATATAGGTGTTCTCAGTAATTTGTGAATTTCTAAAGATTTTATCAATCGGAATGATGTTGTGAATTTTATTTTTTAATTACAAAGTTAGAACCCTTTTTTTTTTTTTTTTGGATGATATAAAAAGTTGTATCATATTATGGTTCAGGGACTTCGGGCCTATCATTTCTCTTAAATATATAATAGATTTATGGTTCATTATGAATAACACAAAATATATATATAACAATAATAAAAAATTTGGCTCCATTATTTTTTTTGGGATTTGGCAAAATTATTGTTTGAAATTTCCGGGTAAATTCGAATTTCATACTTGTATAAAACACAGGTTTCAGAATTGAATATTCTTATTTTTTATGAAGGCGGTTTTTAAAAAGTATATTTTTTTTTGTCATTATCTTAAATAATTGTATTAATACAGCCTTAATTAATCATATAGTAATTAACTAGTTATAATTTTTTTTCTTACCTTCTGTAAATCGTTCCAGCTTTAATTTAGCCTTTTTTTTTTAATAATAATAATTTTTAGTTTGTGAATTTACACATTTCAAGTTTTTAAACTCCCCCCCCCCCCCCNTTTGAATTTTCCAATTTCAAATTTTTAAACCCCCCCCCCCCCCCTTCCCTCGCCATATAACAAAGATTAGAGTTATAATAATAATAATAATAATGGTGATGATGATGATGATAGAAAAAACTTAAACTCAATCTATGATCATCGTACACTATTTTCAAGATTATCACATTATTGATCTTTGCTTTTGCCATAAAAACCAAAAAACTCGAAAAAAAAAGATAAAATTATCCAAAGCTCAAATATAGCTTTTTAAAACAATATTATTTTTCTTATATTTATCATTGGTTTCAAAAACTAAGGGACTGTTCTCTTTAGTATTTTATATTTTCGATTTTCCAAAACGGTAAAAACGCATTCTATTCCCGTTTTCGAAAAAAAAAATTGTGAAGAAAACACAAAACGACCAAAAGGTCGTTTTGAGCGTTTTCTATTGAAAATACTAAAAACACGCCTAAAACCCAAAACACGCAAAACGTGAGAGAGTAAAAAAAATGTGGATGGCCGTGAAACTTCCAGCTTCTTTCTCTCCTTTGGGTCGTCTCCTCCTTCTCCCTTCTTGATGTCGATGTCGATGACGAAGGAGCGCCGACGTGGGGAGACGACACTATTCCAAACCACACTAGCGTCGCGACCTCCTCCCCAAACCA